TCCTCTCCTCTCCTCTCCTCTCCTCTCCTCTCCTCTCCTCTCCTCTCCTCCCTTCTCCTCCCTGCAGAGAAGGAGTGGAAGCAGAAGGAGCAGGGGGGTGATGAAGAGGAGGAGGAGGAAGGTGATGAGCTGTGGGGTCTCAGAACTCTTCAGAGACAAGAGCTGAACAAAGTGAGAGAAACTCAGGTTTAAACCAAGGTTTTACATCAAAGAGCTCCTTTATGATGTTTGTTTGTTTGTTTGTTTGTTTGTTTGTTTGTTTGTTTGCTTGTTTCAGATCCAGTCCAATCTGGGTAGAATCATCCTGAAGGACGAGTTGGACAAATCTGCTGCTCCTTTAAGGAGGAAAACTCGATCTCTGCCGGACCAAAGCCAGAACGCTGGTACAAACAAACAAACAAACAAACAAACAAACAAACAAACAAACAAACAAACAAACAAACAAACAAACAAACATTTTATTTACCACCTCTCTACAGCAACAGCATCTGTTTACAGTTTGTTTTTAAATGAAACAAACAAAAACAGAAGTGTTTTGGGTGTAAACAAACAGAGGTTTCTGCTGGTAAACAAGCTGTTTGTTTATTTATTTGTTTGTTTATTGTCAGGGTCCAGTGTGTCCAGGTTGGTGTATTTCCCAGCATCCTCCAGGAGCGGCCTGTCCAGGGTGAGTTCCTGATCAGAGACATGTCAATAAGCTCGAGCCTCACAGAGACCAATGTTTGTTTGTTTGTTTGTTTTCAGCTGCAGTCTGCAGAGTTCAGCTCCTCAGAGAAAACTCAGACGGGTCAGAAACACACACATTTCAGATTATATTTTTATTTTCTGTTTGAGTCTAAACTTTGTAAAAACTGATTTCTGTTTTTTTGTTTCTGCAGGTCTGCAGGTAAATCTGAACATATCATCTCATCAACATACACACTGTTATTATGAAAAAAACCTGTTTGTTTGTTTGTTTGTTTGTTTGTTTGTTTGTTTGTTTGTTTGTTTGTTTGTTTGTTTGTTTGGTTGGTTGGTTGGTTGGTTGTTTGGTTGTGGTTGGTTGGTCGGTCGGTCGGTCGGTTGGTTGGTTGGTTGGTTGGTTGTGGTTGGTTGGTTGATCGGTTGGTCGGTAGGTTGTTGGTTGGTTGGTTGGTTGGTTGGTTGGTGGGTTGTTGGTGCGTTGGTTAGTTGCTTGCTTGGTTGGTTGGTTAGATGTTTGTTGGTGGGTGGGTTGTTGGTTGGTTGGTTGGTTGGTTGGTTGGTTGGTTGGTTGGTTGGTTGGTGGTGGGTGGGTTGGTTGGATGGTGGCTGGTGGGTGGTTTGGTTGGTTGGTTTTTGTTGTTTGGTTGGTTGGTTGGTT